CGCGCCGGTTGCGGGCGCGGGCGCGGGCACGGCGGCGCGGGGCGCGGCGGCGCTGCACGTCGGGGATGCTGCAGATTTGGTGGTGGAGGTTTACTCGAATCTGCCCGGGGCTGTGCTGTTGCAGCAGCCAGTGCTGGTGCTGTCGCAGCTGGCAAGGGGCTCGTGGCTCCCTGGCACAAGCAGCAGCGGCGGCGGCGGCGGAAACCGCAGCCCCGTCGCGAGCGTGGGCGGCAACGGCGGCGGCGGTGCGGGCGGGCTCGTGCTCGCGGCGGCCGTGCGACGCAGTGGCGGGGTGGATGCGTGGCAGCAGCAGCAGCAGGGCGGCGGCGGCGGCGCGTTTGGCGGCCGCAACGGCGGCGGCTCGGTCGACGGGTCCCTCCCTTCGGGCGACTCGCCGCGCGCCTCCTCGTTCCACCGCTGGCAGGAGGGCGAGGAGCTGCTTTGCACCCGCCTCAAGTCCTGCAAGTCGCTCCCGTGCGGCAGTGGCAGCGGCGATGGGCGCGGCGGCGGCGGCGGCGGCATCGGCGGCTGCGGCGGCGGCGGCGGCGGCGGCGGCGAGGATCGCAGCTGCTTGGAGGGCGGCGGCGGCGGCGTTGCGGTGCGGCTGGCGCCGGGGCTGAGCCGTCTGGTTTTTGAAATCGCGCCGTCCAAGGAAGGGATGTACTCTTTGAAGCAGCTGCGGGCGCGGCTGGGGGCGGCGGAGCTGGTAGTGGGCCCGCCGGCCGCGGGGCGGCTGGCGGCGCCGGGGCACCAGGTGGGTGCAGCTGCCGGGTCGGCCCCGCACTCCGCTGCTTTCAAACGAGGGTTTACAAAATGGGTGGACGGCGCTGCGAGATCCGAAGGTCGTCGAGGGACTGCCGGGTGCCGCGTGCTGCGGGCTGCCACAAGCCAACCAGCTTGTTGCTGTGTGGGCGGCCGCCTGCCATGGGGGGTGCGGGGGAGTTGCGGGGCGCCCGCCTGGCGAGCAGCCTCCCGCCCGCAGGGCAGGCTGCTGTGAGCGCTGTTTCGCAATCCCAGTCCTACAAGCGCAGGGGCGCCTGAGTGGATGGGGAGGGGGAATTTCACCAGCGCGGCATCGTCGTTAGATGACTGTGGAGCTGTCGTTCAGCCCTTGCGACCCTCAGAGCGGCAGAATCGGCCTCGCACACCCACCCGTCGCGCCGGCGCCTGCCCTTGCCTGAGCCCCGCCGCCCGCGCCCCTCATCTATTCCAGGCCCTGCCGCTGGCGGCGCCGCCCGCAGCGGCCGCGCCGGGCGGCTCGCTGGGCGCGCTCGTGCCCTTCGTCGGATCCGTATCGTCCCACGCCGTCGTCGCCCGCGTCTCGCCCCCCGCGCCCCGCCTGTCCGCCGCCCCCGCCGCCCCCGGCGGCGCGCTGCGCTGCGGGCAGCCGCAGTGGCTGGGGCTCCTGCTGGCGCCGCTGCACGGCGCGCCGCGGCGCGCGCGGGTGCGGCTGCAGCCGGGGCGACACCTGGTTCTGCTGGGCGACCCCTCTGATGCCGCGGCGGCTGCAGACCTTCTGGCCGGCGGCGGGAGCTTCCAGGCGCGAGACCTGGTGGTGCCCACGGCGCAGCAGGTGCTGGTTCACACGCTGACTCAGCAGCACATCCCGGGCGGCGGCGGCGGCAGCAAAGAGGGAAGGGCGGAGGAGCGTCAGGGTGTCAAGCGGGGGCAGCAGCGGGCAGTGGCGGCGGGCGGCGGAGGGGCAGGCGCGGAGGGCGGCGGCGGCGGCGGGAGCGGCGGCGGCTGGGACGCGGGCCGGTGGGCGGTGATGGAGAGGGGCTGCCTCGATTTGGGGGCGGCGGCGTGCGAGCGCCCGCTGCTGGTGTGGCTGCAGGTGCTGGTGGGGACGCCCCTGGGCGAGCCGGCCACCATCCGGGTGCAGCCGCCGGCAGGCGAGAGCGGGCCGGAGGGGCGCGGCGGCGGCGGCGGCGGGGCGGGAGGCGCGGGGCCGGGGTCGGGGAGGTGGAGGGCGCCCTGGGCAGCGATGGAGCTGCACGCAGAGTACTTCGACGGTGGGTCGCGGGGCGAACAAAGAAACGGGGGCCGGCGCCAATCGTACGCTCTCCCTGAGCTGCCTTGAAGCAAATGGGTAGCGAACGTCTCGACACGCTTGTTGACGCATCTGCTTGTCCCGTGGAGCGAAAGAAAGCACGCTTGCGGCGCGGAAGCTCCCGCTTTTGGCACGCGAGGGTCTGCCGCCGACGCGCCGCGGCCGCGCCCTGCCCCGCCCCTCCGCCCGCAGGCATGTGGCGCTCACACAGCTCCTGCCTCGAAGTCCCCCTCCGCCAGCCCGTCACCGCCCGCCTCCGCGCCCACCAGCTGCCGGCCCCCGCCGCCCGCGCCGCCGCGCCCGGATCGGCGGCGCCGACGGCCGGCGCGGAGCCGCCCATCGCGCTGCACCTGCTGCTACAAGCGGACGCCGCGTGCGCTGTGGTGGTGCGGGACCTGCAGCTGTCGCCGCAGCCAGGCCTGCAGCTGCACCCCGCGTTCCCGCCGCCGCCGGCGTGGCTGCTGCCCCTCGAGCTTCCGGCCGGCGGCAGCGCGGGCGTCACGTTTGTGCTGCAGCGGGCCAGAGGTGAGTGGGCTTGCTTGACAAGCAGGTGTTTGGGCGACGGTCATCGGTCAATTGCGCCAGCTGGCGCACGAAGCTGTTTCTGTGACGACTTTGAATGCTGTCCGCGCTAGAGCCGGCGCAACCGCCAGCGACAAGCGTCGTCACACAGCTGCCGCACTCGCCCGTCAGTTGCGTCCACCCCTTGCTCACATATCGCGCCCTAGCCATTCGAATCTGTCCACTTACACGTGTGTGATTGCGCTTGCAAAGGCGTCTGCTCACCCGGAACCTTGGCCCGAACACAACCACCGCAGGCGTCGCGCCTGCATACGGCGGGGATAGCTGTGGCTCGCTCACTGTGACCTACACCCTCGCCGCGGGCCCCGAGTCGCAAGCGCAGGCGCCGGCGCTGTGCCAGCAGCTTGGCGGCGGCGTGAGCGCTGTGGCGGAGGCGCTCGGCAGCGGGGAGGGGGCCGCGGGCCTGCCGCCCCCGCCCGCGGCGCTGCCGGGAGCATCGCCAGAGGACTCACAGCAGCAGCAGGAGCAGGAGG